AACACTTGGTTTCATTTTATTTCAATAGTTCGTTTGCGCGTAGGGGTCTTTAGCAGTGGGAGGAAACCGGGGGATCAGGAGGAAATAGACGAGGTTTGACAGGCGACCCTATTCCTTGTCACGTACAACCGCGGAATCGAAACAACGCCACTGCCTGGGCTAAATTCCCCCACATCGCATGTAACCATAGAAAAAAAACCATATGTTTGTGAAATATATGGTGTTGGCGAGACGTTACATTCTATTCATATCCTTTTAAACAACTCTCATTAAAGATACCTTCCCGCGTACAAACTGTTTTATTTGATGATATATTTGGACTAAAAATATACTCAAACTAATTAATCTATCAAATATGTGCTTCATATCCCTCTCAAAACTTTGTATTCGCGAGGAGATACCACACGCTATACAAAATCTATTTTTAGAAGCCATGCTTGTCACCTAACTTTATTGAGGGAGGAGGGCATTTTTCAGAATGTTTTTGTCATTACTTACTGTCCATTTACTATACATATTGAGGCCTAATTATTGTCTGCCAACTTCTTTTTCTGAATTGCAGAGTCTATTATACTTTCACACCCCTCAATGTTCCCAAAACCGCCTAGAACCATTCGATCAAGAAGTAACAACCGCTCCTTAAGTCAAGCTGGTAAATAATAAGCCGTCTGGTAGCCAATAAGTGATACCCTGACATTTTCGCCCAGTGCTTGTCCCATAGGTGTTTTTCGGGTAATCCAGTATTTTTCTAGTAAGATTGGGCGTCTATACTTTCCATATATACCAAATTTGACATACTTTTATTGGAAATAACTACCTGATAAATACTTTCGTGAGAATGTATCTTTAAAGTAAAAATTATACTAGACGAGACCTCAAACTCATATCCATTCTATGATATTTACTATTTATAGCTCTTTGAATTGGTGTAAATTTACCACCCTTGTGTCCAAATATGGAGAAGTGTGACACTACGGGAACGGATGTGACTATCCTTCGGCTCGGCACCGAAAAGCGGTACTGTGACACTATCCTGTCCGCAGCCTCCAGAAACCGACCAGTGAAACTATCTTTCTTCTCGGTAGGACTTTACGCTGCGATCAATGAACTCTGGAACACTATGTTTATATATTAAATACAGGAAACTACAACATCTATGATAGTACATTAAGTTCCCTATCCCTTAGCGCGTGTTCTGTGGCGAGAACCATTCCGGCCTTTGAGCCGAGCGGCTAGTCGTATTGTAGTAGTGTATATTTTTATGTATAATTTGCATACGTATTGAATTAATAAGATTTAAATTGCGTATTTTATTTTAAAACTAAAGTAACATTTCTTTTCTGACGTTGATAGATAACAGTTTAATTCTGTTATATAACAATATTTTTTGATTAAAGAGACACTAGAAGAGGCCTTTATTGTGTATCATTTAGATTGGTTTTTATGAAAATACACTACTACAGTACGGCTTGGAGCGCCGGATGATTGTCTCTCCTAGGATCTCTAAATGATGTCTAAAAAACTTAAACCCGGCACGTTCCTTATAAAGAGGATACGTGCATGAATTATGTACTGACCCCGTGGAAATTGGCCAGGTACTTCCTTTGTCTGATTGGGCAGTTGCACAGAAGCTACCCTGGATTTGAACACAATGTTCTAATATGGGCACCGAGGAGGAGGAGGAGCGGATGACGGGTTATCACTTTTCTAAAGCGTGGGATTCCATATTTGGATAAGTGTTTCATTAATCCTAAGTTTATAAAAATGAGCTAATCTGTACTCCAGAGATCTCCGATCTGATGTCTTATCGTAATGTATATTTAACGTCTAATTAATAGTGTATATAACATTTCAGGCCTAAAGAAAAACCTGAAATAGGCAGATTTAGCTCTTGCATAATGTATGTTTAAGTATACAATTTTTTAAAAAGATTTTAGGGTTTTGATTATTTTTTTTTATTAAAAGTGGAAGAAAAGAATGATAATTATACGATCTAGCTTCTAATTAAACCAACAGACCGCTATTATATAACATGTGTTGAATTATCAAATTTCGTCAACATGTTTCATATTACCCTAATCAACATGGATCTTCTCCTTGATATATTTTATATTAAGTTAGGTCACCTTCAAGGTATTTAATAGCATGTCCGTGACTGTCAGTATTGTTTTATGTGAATATAATACTCCCACCATGTTGGGAATCAAGGTATTTAATAGCATGTCTGTGACTGTCAGTATTGTTTTATGTGAATATAATACTCCCACCATGTTGAGAGTCAAGGTATTTAATAGCATGTCTGTGACAGTCAGTATTGTTTTATGTGAATATAATACTCCCACCATGTTGAGAGTCAAGGTATTTAATAGCATGTCTATGACTGTCAGTATTGTTTTATGTGAATATAATGCCCCCATCATGTTGGGGGTCACGTTAAATGAAATGGCGTCAAACGTCCTACCGTTCTGCTCCTACTGGGATAATATAAACGACATACGCCATACTGTGTGCTATGGAAGAAATTTTGCCCGGCCTACTCTTATATCGAATTCCAACTGCCAAGGGATATTTTACGTGCACGCCAATGTGTACACGGGACCTCGGTTTTTCGTCCCATCCGAACGACTAGACAACTGTCACGGTATCACAGTGAGTAAGATGTTCGCTTGCTAACCTGGAGGTCCCGTTTTCGATCCCTGTGTTGACTAAGAAAGTTCATTGTGATTTTCGGGCGTGGTTCCCCTTTGTCAGTGGTGCCGTACCAAGGGCCTGATAAGGGATAGCGTATAGTTGTTCGGATGGGATGGAAAACCGAGGGCCCGTGTACACACTGATGTGCACGTAAAAAACAAAACAATGTCCCTCATAGCATACTGTATGGCGTTGCCCGTCTCCATTACAGTAGTTCCTATTTCATTTTATTTCCCACCATGTTGCTCGGAATACAGCGTTTCCGTACCCTTTTTCGACTTCCGGCATCGTGCCACGCCGGAAAACCCCAAGGAATTTTCGTACAACACCGAAGCGAACCTGCGACCTCCAGGCTAGCGAGCCAGCGTCTTACTCACTTAGCCATCGTGGCTCCCTAACAACTGAGAACCTGTTTTTGTTACTTTCGGCCCATGTCAGCATTCAAACAAGGAACTTTCAAGTCTAAAAAAAGTCAAAGTAAAAAACTAGTGCGGATAATAATATAAAATCTCGCAACATGGTAAAAAGGGTACGAAAAGGAGGGCCCTTGAACCCCGAGTAGTTGTCCATTGAGCCGTGTTTGCCCTTGTTTATTTAATATCATATATATATTCCATTTTACATATTTTTTAGAAAAAAAAAATCATGATTTATTTATTGTAAGCGTTTTTTGTTAAGTTATCTACACGTCTGTATCGACGTATCATGAAACTGCTCCATTTTCTTATCCTAAGCCGAGTATAGGACCTCAGTGTCATGTCAGTGAAACTGTTTTTTGAGAGTGCTTGAGTTAAAACGGGTTATTTATTATTCTACTTAACAGGGACTTCACAGCAGTCAATTTCCCTGTTTGTAGGAGAGAGAGAGAGAGAGAGAGAGAGAGAGGTTAACATCCCCTCGACACAAACTAGGTCAATTTGGGACTAACATATGGTTCAATTTTATTTCAATAATTCGCTTGCATGTATGGGTCTTTAGCAGTAGGAGGAATCCGGCGGACCTGGAGAAGTAGCAGTAGTAATAGTAATAGTAGTAGTTGTAGTAGTAGTAGTAGTGAGAGAGAGAGAGAGAGAGAGAGAAAAATGGGGTTTAACGTCCACTCGACACAAACTAGGTCATTTCGGGACTAACATATGGTTTAATTTTATTTGCATAATTCGCTTACGCGTAGGGGTCTTTAGCAGTGGGGGGAAACCGGAGGACCCGGAGAAAACCCACGAGGTTGGACAGGCGACCCTACTCCTTGCCACGTACAACCGGGGATTCGAAACCACGCCAGTCGACTCAATGACAGACTTTATGATACAGCGCGCGCACGCTAACCATTCAGCCATCCAACCCCCCAGTAGTAGTAGTAGTAGTAGTAGTAGTGGTAGTAGCAGTAGAAGGAGTAGTAGTAGTAGTAGTAGTAGTAGTAGTAGTAGTAGTAGTTGTAGTAGTTGTTGTAGTGGTAGCAGTTGTAGTTGTAGTAGTTGTAGTAGTTGTAGTTGTAGTAGTAGTAGTAGTGGTAGTCGTACTATTAGTAGTAGTAGTAGTTGTAGTAGTAGTAGTAGTAGTAGTAGTAGTAGTAGTCGTCGTACTAGTAGTAGTAGTAGTAGTAGTAGTAGTAGTTGTAGTAGTAGTAGTTGTAGTAGTAGTAGTCGTCGTACTAGTAGTAGTAGGGTTGGGTTTAACATCCGCTGTCACCTAGGGTAATATCGCAGATAAAAGTTTCCTTGCGAGAGGAGCCAGTCGCAAAAGCCTTGAACGCTCGACTTCTACGGCCCCAGAGGTAATATTAGGTTTTCCAGAATAACAGACCTATGGATATAAAAGAAACTTAATAAATAACATACAACGCAAGTGTGGGTTAGTGCGCTTCGAATTAATAATCGTAATATGTAACGCAATTGGCTGACAATCAAAATCATATTATACCTACTAAACACGAGCCAGTGAGCAACCTTTAATCACAATTATAATTTCATGGACCAGTTGTTCCCCTTGTTGATCACGAATAAAGCGTTATGTTTGGAGTATTGTTCAACATTTACGTCTGCATATTTGTGTCTTTGGCAAGACAGTGTTAGGTCCTTTGTTGGTAGACCAGTATTATAGATTAGAACTGGTTATTGTCAAGTGTTGATATGATATGATTGTATGTATATGATCGGTGATCGCTGGGTTGAAATCAATATATCGATCCATTGTTAGATTGTGTATCGACGATCGTGAGTCAATCGACTGATTGATTTCTATCAATATTATACATATAAATATATATAGGTGGGTTGGACTTATATGTCATTTAATATCCAGTTAGCACACAGTCAACATCGGAGAGATATTCACTTAGGTTTGAATTATTGGAGATGTTAGACCAACTTAATATATTTCTGCTCATGTGACGTAAAACGGGATACTTGTGACGTTGGAACTTGTGGCTTGGACATGGTAGAACAGATTAAAGATCAACTCTAATTCTAGAGGGGATCAACTAGTCCTGAATTTATCGGATAACTAACAACTTTTAAGTATATCAACTTATTTAAGACCAAGGATATACTTGTTAAAACTCACCTGTGTCGTGGACAATAAGGTAGAAAATCTTTCAAACATTTCAAGAACAAATAAAACGTGATTGATTGCTTCATCTTTGTGGCGGACACATCGAACTTTTTATTATTGCATAGAGACTTTTTATTTTAACGGAATTAAAATTGTTTGTGTGTTTTGTTGAAGTTGATAATTGTGATCCGATGTGTGTTTAACGTCCGCTTTAACATTATATACAAATCTATGTTCATGCAAGATACGGTATCTGCCTGAATATTTACAAAAAAACAACACGTTCAAACAAGAGTACATTATGATTTTTCAAACCGGTTAAAATCAATGGAAAGCATCATCTGTGACGTCAACGCACACCACCCGCTAATGACGTCATCTGAATGACACGTCACAAAATGAATGGAATAAGTTTACCACCGATTCCTGGGGCAGCGGCTAGTTCCAGACCCACATCTTCCAGTAGTAGTACCGGAAGTACATCATTTACACTGGTGCCTCGAGTCTATTATACTCGTAAGTTTTATTAAAAAAATTTTTTTTTGCAAACGTTACACCGTCCATCCAAAATTGTCAGCTGTCTCATCTTTCCAAATAAATGATAATTGATTTTATAAAGTGTAAACAGGCTCCGCTTTGCCCCCCCCCCCCCCCAAAAAAAAAACCCCAAAAAACAAACAAAACGCGCATTACATTTAAGGGACATTGGGTAAGATTAGATAAAGAGCCGATAGTTCTTGCTATAATAGATAAAAATAGATAATGAAAACAGAATATGCTGAAAATTTCAGTCAGATTGCTTCACTCTCAACCGAAATATTGGCGATTAAATTTTAGGCTAGCCTCGATTGTTTGTTACGATAATAAACATTTTTACGTTAATTCATCCACCACAAACCGTATTCCAATCCGTTAAATATCGCAGGCTAACGATGGCATCGAGAGTTGATTATTGTTTAAATAAAATAAGTTCATTAATGTCTAATTGATAATTTAGATAACATTTCAGGCCTACAGAAAGACCCGCAATAGGCAGATTTCGCTCTTGCATAATGTACGTTTAAAGGGACAATAACACTCTTGCTGGCTTGACAGCTCCAGAAAATAAAAAGTAGCCTTATTCTAAGTACTAGATGTATTAGTGTCCTACCTGTTGTGTAAATTATCCATTAAATCCTATTTTACTTGTCCAGAGGGTTCAAAAATATTTTTAAATCCATGTCACATTTGAAAAGCTTTACGTCAGGCTTTTCAAATCATTTAGTTGAATTTTCCAATATTTTAAATTAGGTGTGTTAAGATGAAATTTATATCATCAATTAATTGGAATATTGTAAAATAGTACAATTTGTTGACCAGAATAAAGATTGGGAAATATTATTCAGTTACAACCAGAGTGGTATTGAGCCTTTAAAGAGAGATCGTTAATGCATAACACCATCATACTAATCAGGGTTCCTGGGTTTTTTTTTATTTCATAAAGTACTTGGCTTGTCAGTACAGTATAGTGATATATGTATATTTATGTTCTGATATATGAAAGAATTAAAGAACACCCCGACGTCTTTAAAATATTTCAGAATTTACCTATTTGTATGTAAGCATATGGTGTTGTTGTTTTTTAGTATGTTTTAACTCTATATAATCATTTTAAAATATTAATGATAGGTAAAAAATAAATTTTCGAATTGTCTACATTTTTTTTAGTTTAAACTCTATATAATCATTTTAAAATATTAATGATAGGTAAAAAATAAATTTTCGAATTGTCTACATTTTTTTTAGTTTTAACTCTATATAATCATTTTAAATATTAATGATAGGTAAAAAATAAATTTTCGAATTGTCTACATTTTTTTTAGTTTTAACTCTATATAATCATTCTAAAAATTCATGATAGGTAAAAAATAAATTTTCGAATTGACGGCCATATTCAAATTAGATTGTATGCCAAATTTGAGACAAGTCTGCGGCATATAAACGTTTTATATTTTAATTAAAGTCCGACATAAAATTTAAATATAGTGTTTAAGACTCAGCGTGTGACTTGCGGTATCGGTTGCTGCTTCCGGTCTGAATAGCGGGATTGTACTGTAATTTATTGGGTGAGAATGAGAATGCCTCTTCAGATCGGACCAGTTCACGACTACGTGAGAAAAGTACTTCGGCTGTTGGACTTGCCATTCATGATGAAACATATACCACGATTAATTTCCTGAATTACCTCTTTCAATGTTGATTAGTGAGTAATTTGTGTAAAAACAGCATCGATTTCTACCTGACTGATTGTCTTTTTATTGGTTCCATTATCTCGGTGAAGTCGTTAAATGGCGAGTTAGTATGGTTGTAATTTACTGAAAACCAGAAATTGTTTGCGAATTAATGCGAATAACTTCTTGTGAAGGCTTAAAATGACACCCACTCTTTGATTCGGTCAAAATTAATATTGCTGCCATTATTGCATTTCAGGTTGTAATTTACTGCAAAAACATGAATTATTTGCAACATAATATTAATGCGAATAACTTAAAATGGCGCCTACTCTTTGATTCGGGCAAAATTAATATTGCTGCCATTATTGCATTTCAGGTTGTAATTTACTGAAAAAACATGAATTATTTGCAACATAATATTAATGCGAATAACTTAAAATGGCGCCTACTATTTGATTCGGGCAAAATTAATATTGCTGACATTATTGCATTTTATTTTGTAATTAACTAAAAAACCGGACTTGTTTGCAACATAATATTATTAACGCGAATAACGTCTTGTGAATACTTAAATGGAGTCCACTCTTTGATTAGGTCAAAATTAATATTGTTGACATTTTTGCATTTTTATTTTGTAATTTACTGAAAAACCGGAATTGTTTGCGACAATTTTATTAATGCGAATTACGTCTTGTAAATACTTAAAATGGCACCCACCCTTTGATTCGGTCAAAATTAATATTGCTAACATTATTGCATTTTATTTTGTAATTTACTGAAAAACCGGAATTGTTTGCGACATATTATTAATGCGAATTACGTCTTGTAAATACTTAAAATGTCACCCACTCTTTGATTCGGTCAAAATTGATATTGTTGCATCTTAGGTTGAATTTACTGAAAAACATGAATTGTTCGCGACATATAATTAATGCGAACGAAGACTTGCCAATATTTCAAATGATTTGCTGATTGTGAATGAGTTGACGCCCCTTTTACGCTAAAATTAAGACATTGTTCCAAATAATTTAGTGATTATCATATAGAACGAGAGAGAGTGAGAGAGAGAGAGAGAGAGAGAGAGAGAGGGGAGGGATAGAGAGAGAGAGGGGAGAGGGATAGAGAGAATGGGGTTTAACGTGAACTCGACACAAACTATGTCATTTCGGGACTAACATATGATTTAATTTTATTTCAATAATTCGCTTGCGCGTACGGGGTCTTTAGCAGTGGGAGGAAACTATATAGGAAGAACACCCCACATATTTAGAATAAAGACATTAATACCCCTAGATTAGCATGATGCATACCAATTTCTGAAAGTCGCAACTACGGCCCAATATCATAGCTACCAAAAATACTACATGTATTAGATAACGTAATGGCTTGATATAAACTCCCTTCTAACATAATCCAATAAACGAACGTTGTCCAAGTTAGTGTTTAAAAAGGTTTGATATAAGTGTAAAATAAATACACTAGTGACTTAGATGTTATCAATAAAATTATTGTAGGTCAATACAAATGGGAGAGAAAGAGAGAGGCAGGGGGGGGGGGGTGAACACGCAAACTAAGCCATTCTAGCAGGCGACGCCACCCCTTGTCACGTACGACCTGGGAATCGAAACCAAGCCACTTGACTCAAGGAAAGACCGTATAATCTAGAATTCCAATAGGGTTGGAGGGTTCTTTTACGTGCACCCTATGTGTACACGGGCAGATCTTGGTTTTACGTACCATCCGAATGACTAGAATGTAGACGCAACCTATGAAAAGTAAGAACCAGACTTGAAAAATTCCGGTTCCTACTCGTTCCAAGCTGAGATCGAACCCGGTAGATTGTAATTGAGAGCCCCGTGTCCTGCCCACTCGACCAACACGTACCCTTTGATACAAATTAAAAAGGTACCCCCACTTTAATGTAAATATATGTTAATGGCGCCCACTTGATATGTTGATATTGGATAGTCTTAAAGTCTGTGTGCGTCATTTTTCTTTTTCAAAAAATATCAAATTTTCAACCGCTTAAACACACATTATGCAAGAGCTGAATCTGCCTATTGCAGGTCTTTCTTTAGGCCTGAAATGTTTTCTAAATTATTAATTAGACATTAGTTAACTTATCCAGACCATAATCAACTATCGATGGCATCGCTAGGCTGCGATATTTATTGGATTAGGTTCCGATTTGCTGTTCGACTTAGATTCATAATTAAATCATAAAATGGATAATCGAGACTATGTTTTTTTTTATCCTACCGACTATAGTAATGATGATCGAGGCTAGCCCCAATATTCAATCACTAAAATCTCGGTTCATAGTCGATCAATTTGACTGAAATTTTCAGCAAATTCCCTTTACAGTATCTAGTTTTTAACTATTATAGTGAGAACTGTCAGCTCTTTATCTAATCTCCCATAATATATCTTTAATCCACGCTAAAAATGTACTTCTTTAACAAATTTTTATTAAGAAAACAGAATCAAAATATCAACAGCAGATATTCGGATTAAAAAGAAACCCAGCGAAAATCATATTTGGTGTTAGCTTTTGACCATATCCCGTTTTTATCGTCAATTCATCAAATCTTTTTAATATTAAACGCAACTGAATCATCTTTTGATTGATATTACTATTGGAGATTCAACTTTCACCTTGTTGTAGTTTGTCAGGGATTCAAAGTCCCGCAAATGATGTTCTGGGTCTTTAAGTATTGCTCTACGGGCTGTCAGTTATCAGGATGATATATTCAGATGGTGCCATATACCGTGTGCGAGGCAGACAATGCTTACTCTTTGTTTTACTTTTATATTTAAAGATACATTATGGGAGATTCGATAACGAGTTGGCAGTTCTCACTATAATAGTTAAAAACTAGATAATGTGAAGGCAATTTGCTGAAAATTTCATTCAAATAGATCCACTATGAACCGAGAACAAAGCGGTTGAAATTTCCGGCTAGCCTTGGTCATCATTACTAAAGTCAGTACGGTAAACAGCATAGTCTCGATTATCCATTTAATCGTTAAATCGTGAAGGAAAGTTATGCAGTAAATCGGCTCATAATCCACTAGAGATCGCATACTAGCGATGCCATCTAGAGTTGATTATGGTCTGGATAGGTTAATTAATGTCTAATTAATAATTTAGATAACATTTCAGGCCAAAAGAAAGACCTGCAATAGACAGATTTAGCTCTTGTATAATGTATGTTTAAGTAAATGTAATACTCCCATGCAGACCAAAATATCACGAATCGATATTCAAATAGTACAAAGAAACAATATCAAAATGACAGTCAACAAATTTATGTTCGCAAAAACTTAATTATTTAAAATTTTGAAAAATATTTAATATTATCCATTCTCCATTATCCATTTAATATTTTATTAATTCCCTTTGAACCCGAGCGGTTGGGGGTCCGACCTTGACATTGTAATGTCCACAATACGTGTGGTCTGTCTTCCGGTCACTGCCATCACTCTTGTACGTTCAGACGTTAGACTTCCGGACAATAATTTTTAGTATGACTAGCATCACACGGTGGAATATTAGAGATATTGGCCCTAGTGTGAAAATTCCTAGTTTCGCTCTTGTCATTGAACACCTTGACGATTCATTAAATAATCTATTTCCGTAACGACATTGCAAAGATACTGTATTTTGATTGTATGGTATGTTTGTTTGACACCCCCCTGGAGCTTGTCCTTGACACGTTCTGTTTTTACAAGTGTTAAACCGGATCAAGAGTACAGTAGAAACAAACACTACTATTGTCCGAACATCAAGTGTTAAACCGGATCAAAAGAACACTCGAAACAAACAGTACTATTGTCCGAACATCAACCAAATTCTTTAATCTCAAAGTCAATTTGATTTCTAACTAAAAAGACAAACTTTTTAAACCGGCCATTCCACATGTTCTTGTTGTTTAGTTTTTTTGGTCTCTTCTTCACGTAAAACATCAACGTGTTGCTGTTTCCGGTTGACCACCAGGGATGGGTCAGTCGACATTTAGAACAAAACTTGTTGAAGTTTGAAATATTTAGTCTTTGTTCGTGTTACTTGAGGCATGTCTAGTTTCACTACCAAATTCAAGTCTCGACAAACTAGCCCCTGTTTCGGTCATTCAGACAGCATTCCTCATAATGTCTTGACAAAATTTAAACCAATATTTGGAAATTATCTCTGAAAATGCACCGAGTGAGTGGATTGTCGAGAAATGGACCATACTGAACTTAGGCTGTCTGTCTGTCTACAGTTAGCTTCTTTTAAAAACAGACACTAAGCTAGTTGACCGACATTTAAGTCCTAAATCGACGATTTTAGTCGAAAACTCTAAGTGTACTTCGATAATTTTGAAAAGTATTTATTTCGCTTTATTGAATTCAAATATTTAGTTAGTCTTTGTACATAACAGATGTGAAACGGAGCAGAACCGCATTGCTAAACAATATACTTATTTTTGGATATGGCGGCCATTTAGGGCAGAGATCTATTCTCAAAGTACAGGGCCCTTATTGACGAAAACTTAAACTAAGATACAATTGAAATTTTAAGAAATACTGCAATTCGATTGGCTGACCAGTAAAATCAATTTGCATATATCCAATGAAGTTGCAGTATTTCTTAAAATTTCGGTTGTAACTTAGTTTAAGTTTTCGTGAATAAGGGCCCTGGAGATAGTTTTCTGTGTGCAGAATGTGTCTACTCGTCAAGGAATATTTTATGTGCGCGCCATATCCATATACGCACACAGGTGAGCCTCGAATTTTCGTACCACCCAAACAACTAGGCGCTTTATAATAGCCAGGTCATCCTTGGTGTATAGATGGTATAATCGTTAAGTACAATTTTTAGCAGCCTCTGTTCTATCATGAAAATGGGCCCTGTTTTGTGACAGAGAGAGAAAGGGAGAAAGAGGGAGAGATGAAATGAAATGAAATGAAATGGGGTTTAACGTCCTACTGTTCTGCTTCTCTACTGGGCTAATAAAGAGGGGCATACGCCATACAGTGTGCTATGAGGGAAATTTTGCCCGGACAGCGGCACTACGGTCTACTCTTATATCGAATTCCAACTGTCAAGGGATCTTTTACGTGTACGCCAATGTGTACACGGGACCTCGGTTTTTGGTCCCCTCCGAACGACTAGACAGCTATCCTTGTCAGGCCCTCAGTCCTGCATCACGGACAAGGGGGAACCACGCCGGAAAATCTGGATGAACTTTCTCGGTCAATGCAGGGATCGAACACCCGAACTCCAGGCTAGCGAGCCAGCGTCTTACCCACTTAGCCACGTGATCCCCAAGACAGAGAGAGAGAAATGGGGTTTAACGTCCACTCGACACAAACTAGGTAATTTCGGGACTAACACATGGTTCAATTTTATTTCAATAATTCGTTTGCGCGTAGGGGTCTTAAGCAGTGGGAGGAAACCGGAGGACCCGGAGAAAACCCACGAGGATGGACAGGTGATCCTACTCCTTGTCACATACAACCGGGGATTCGAAACCCCGCCAGTTGACTCAATGACAGACCGTATGATACAGCGCACGTGCTAACCATTCAGCCACCCAACCCCCCGGTTTTGTGTTAGATACTCGTTCACAATTCATTCATTCATTCATTCATTCATTGAATAAAAATAAACCAATTCATTCATTCATTGAATATAAATAAACCACCGCCATATTGCAGTGCTTGGTATTTATAAGTTTTATTTGATATTTTCAGAACACAATGTGTTTAAACGAGCTGCGGGAGCCACTCCTGTACCCAGAGCCAATGGCCGTTTACCCCCTTTACGTCACGGCGGCCATAATCGAGGCAGGGTAAGTATAAATTATTCTTGCATTGGGCTATTATTAGACGAACTTTCCGAAGACCCGCAAACAACCTCATCAGTATAGTTACAGAAACACCCACAGCCAATATCCCGAGGAGTTTAAAATTAAAAATGATGTTTTCGTTTCTGCCATGAAATATTGAAAACAAAATGAAAGTTATAAGTTATTTTTATTTTTCTTGGTGAGAAACATAGTCCACTCACAATAAACGTGATTTAAAAGCAAATACACTATATTATTATTTATTATTATTTATTATCATTGTAAATTTTTATAGCGCACAACTTCCACGACTAAGTGCTCACGTGCGCTTTATAAAATATGATACAGAAATTAAACATATATACATTATGCAAGAGCTAAATTTGCCTATTGCAGGTCTTTCTTTGGGCCTAAAATATTATCTAAATTATTAATTAGACATTAATTAACTTATCCAGATCATAATCAACTCTCGATGGCATCGGATCTCTCCGATATTAAATAGATTAGAACAGTTCAGCCCTATTTTGATTTAAGCTAAAAATGGAGGAGCGAGACTTAGCTTCGATCAACCAGTACGGTGGTTGAAATTATTGCACACGTCTTATCGAACCGTCAAAGGCTAATATCTTTGCTCGCAATAGTGTAATTTGAATGAGATTTTCAAATTATTCATTTTACATTATCTATTTTCGAACTATTATAGCAAGAATGACTAGGACTAGCTCTTTATCTAAATCTTACATAATGTATCTTTAAATATACAAGTAAAATAACTAAACCAAAATACAAATAAGACATACATGTAAGCTTTGAAATTAATTTCAAATCTTATAAACTATGGATACTGTTACATTAAAATGATATATCACCGAGAAAAAACCTGTAAGAATAAGTGAGGCACTTCACATTTTTCTTAACGCCAACGATGAACAGGTTATAATATCTTAAAGTAGTTTGTTTCAGGGGCTTGAACAAAAAATGAACATAATTTATATGTGTAATATAATATGATTGGAAAGTTGTGCTGTGTCATATTTCGAGGAGAACTTCGTGCTTTATCGTTCTTAATCAGATATGAATAATATATACAGCATTTAGCAATCTGATTAGAATACAGATCTATATTTCGTTTCGTTTTTTTTATACTTTCGATGACCTACACTACATTAAGATCTGACAGGTTGTAGCGATAGGTCACGTCAGAGGTCAGACATTTGATTAACCAATCAGCATTGATGTTACTAGTGGATTACCCACAGTTCCGTGCAAAACACACCTAAAGCTCGCCGTAACAGGCCATCCAGAACACGTCAATGATAACAACTCTTCTAGATCCTAGTGTAGTAAAGACAAGTAAAACGAAATTTTGAACTATAAAAACGAAACGAAATAGGATCTGTGTTTTAATCAGATTGAGCATTTAGAACATGAAATGAAAGGAAATGTGGTTTAACGTCCTACTGTTCTCCTCCAACTGGGCTAATGAAGACGGGCATACACCATATAGTGTGCTATGAGGGAAATTTTGCCCTGACAGCGGCACTACGGCCTACTCTTATATCGAGTTCCAACTGCCAAGGGATCTTTTACGTGCACGCCAATGTGTACACGGGACCTCGGTTTTTCGTCCCATCCGAACGACTAGACAGCTGTCCTTGTCAGGCCCCCGTCCTGCACAGCATTTACAAGTAAATTGTCTACAGCAACAATGTTAGAAATAGAACACGTACTTAGTATAGACAGTGTCGGGCATTAATTCAGGCTTTGTCAGGCCACCGTTCCTGTGGTTGCCTGTTATCTTGTCCGGTACAGATGGGTCTTATTTCATCCAATCCAATATTATTACAGCCTGGATGGGGATAATAATAATGAAATGAATCCTTCGGTAAATTTATGACCTCCATCATCGGGACATATTCTGGAAAGTGGGACTTTATGTCCATATGATGGAGGTCGTAAATTTACCGGGTAGCCATTGTTTACCTGCTTATAGACATCGTTAGTGGGAGTCTTCATTATCCCAGTCAGTACAGAACAGTAGTCTGCGTTGGTGTGGATGTATAGAATAATAGTCAGAACCTTGTTTAAAAATCACAAAACACGAGTTAATTCCCTTTACCCGTGATGATATTTAGTAATGGTCTGTAACAACAGGTGGAAACTTGGGAACCTGGAGAAAACCCACGTCTACTCAACACTAACTGGGTTATTTCGGAACTGACATATCGTAAGAGAGAATTACGCCAGGGGTTAAATGACGTCGCATGATCATTGCGTCGTTAATCTGAACTAGACGTAAACTGCGGACAGTGATGAAAATGAGAGATAGAGGGGCAATGTGTGTGTGTGGGGAGAGAGAGAGAGAGAGAGAGAGAGAGAGGGGGGGGCTGGAGAGAGAAGGAGAGGGGGCGTCTACTCGACACAAACTAGACCATTTCGAGTCTACACATGGTTCAATTTTATTTCAATAATTCGCCTGCGCGTAGGGGTCTTTAGCAGTGAGAAGAAACTCGAAAACCCGGTGAAAACCGAAAAGGTTGGACAGGCGAGAGCGACAGAGATGGATAAACGTTGTACGGTTGTTTGTCCGTATATAACACCTATAAAACATCGTCATTATCGACAAAATTTAAGATTTATAAGCGACAATTAGTTAAATCAATAGGTAAATGGCGTCGTTGATTAATTTAAGCTATTTGATTAAGTTAATATATAATCGGGATTGTACATTGTATTAAGAAAGAGATATTTCAAATGGATTAGAGTAGATTAAGAGTGTAAAGGTCGTTTATTGGTACTCTCCAATAGTCCGAATAGTGTTGGCCTTATGCTGTGCATTTGTCCTCACGGAAACGGTGATACCAGCTCTCTCTCTCTCTCTCTCTCTCTCTCCCTCTCTCGTCTTCACAGTTTAAGGGAATGAATGAGATATTTTTAATTTGATAAGGATTAGTAAATTCAGAATATAAAGCTCATTGACTAGTTACACTTTTGTTCGAACTTTAACCTCGTGTTGTTGGGTAGCAATCCTATATGCTTTAATCTGTTGACTCACTGCACTCACTGACATGTAATCTACAACCGATACATATAGAAATTGGGTTTAACGTCCTACGTTAGTGCGAAATGAAATGTAATGGGGTTTAACGCCCTACTGTTCTGCTCCTACTGGGCATACACCATACAGTGTGTTACAAGAGGAAATTCTGCCCGGACAGAACCGTAATTACGCCTATTCCCCGTCGAATTCCAACTGTCAAGGCATACTAAACTTAGGCTGTCTGTATACAATAAGCTCCGCTTGAGAACAGACACTAAGCTAGTCTGCCGACATTTTAATTCCTAAATCGACGATAGTCGAAAACTCTAAGTTTACGTGGATAATTTTTAGAAATATTTATTCCGCTTCAATTTAATATCACTGAAAAAGTTTATTTAGTCTTTGTGTATATGGCAGATATGGACTTGGTAGAACAACATTACAAAATAGTATACCAATTTTTTAATATGGCGGCCATTTGGGGCAGAGATCAAGGGTTCATTTTTACTTGCACGCCAACGTGTACAGGGGAGTTTGGTTTGTCGACCAATCCCAACGACTAGACACTCTCTATCCCAGCCCCGTCCGACACCTCTTGACAAGCGGACAGCACGCTGGAATATCCCGGAGAACTTTCTCGACTACTTCTGCAACCGAACCCCGTACCTCGTGCAGTGGACCAACCTCGTGGGTTTTCTCCGGGTCATCCGGTTTCCTCCCACTGCTAAAGACCCCTACGCGCAAGCGAATTATTGAAATAAAATTGTACCAAATGTTAGTCCCGAAATGACCTAGTTGTGTCGAGTGGACGTTAAACCCCATTTCTCTCTCTCTCTCTCTCTCTCTCTCTCTCTCTCTCTCTCGTGCAGTGGGCCAGCGCTTCACTCACCGAGTAAACGTAACCGTGAATTGTGACGCTTACCACATTGATCAATATTTACAAGTATATCAAATATCGTACATTATCAGAATCCAGTGTTTACTATATAAAAATAGTTCGAAAGACGATCTTTAAGGTTAGATAAAACAATTATAAAGTTGATCAGTTAGATCACAAACACGTTTTTGCATTTAACTAAAAAAAATACAAATATTATTTAAACTCAAGTCAGTTTGTTAAAGGAGATGTAACACGATAGCCATAATAATACACCGCCATTGTAAAGGGGTGTGTTCCTTAGGTTAACATAGCAAAATAGTATGTAAAGGGAGAGAGAGGGAGAGAGAAATGGGGTTTAACGTACACTCGACACAAACTAGGTCATTTCGGGACCCGGAGAAAACCCACGAGGTTGGACAGGCGACCTACTTCTTGTCACGTACAAGCGGGGAATCGAACCTACGCCACCCAACCCTCATTATGTAAAGGAATTTTAAGTCTCGTCAACACTGATTCGGTAATGTGGAGACTCTCATCTAGATATTGGCATTTTTGCCCTGTCAGCTTTTTTCCGGCCATCAACAACTGTCCGTGTACCGGAAAACCGAAATAGCCAAGACGTGGCGGTTTTCGTTCCCAGCGAAAGAATCGATACCTTTCCTTGCACGGGAGGAAAAGGGTGTAAAAAACGATTATTTTACTCTGGGCCTTTGTCTATAATATATGCGTTAATGAATTTTTATGCCCCCACCTTTTTTCAGATTTAAATGTAAAAAAGACAACAAAAGAGTTTTGCTTGTTGTTATAATATTTATTCGGTACAATTATTAAATATATTACATTTTATTTCCCCTCTTTATTCCTGTATTATGCAATTATTAAAATAGACCGAAATTATGACTATTCGTCTAGAGTTGCTCAAAGTGTTTTTCCACCCTGAGCGCCTCGTTGCTGAATGTGTGTGTCTAAAATGTATAGACCGAAATTATGAGGACCCGCGTGGAAGTGTCCTAACATGTTTTTGTCCCTGGGCGGTGAGAAACCTCGCTACGCCACGCCATTGAATTTGTGTGCATAAAA